TCTTTTGCCTCCCAGACTTGCTGCTTGGGGAGGGTGATGCTGAAAGTTGGCCTGTGTCTTAGGAGCCTGGAAGGTTTTATGCTGCCTTGCTGGAGAATACATCCAGAAGGAGTGGAACAAGAAGACGTCTGCTTGTTTGGTACAACTTGAGAATAGGTTTTATTGCTAAATAGTGTGTTGAATAGCTGGATACAAGCTTCTGCCGCGGGACAGTGCAGGAAGCTCTGGCTGCTCACACTAGTAACTGGCACCATTTCCTATTTTACCCTGCAACAAGTTGAGGATTGCACCCTGAGAGCTAAAATGTTAACCCCTTGAGCCATTTGGGGGTCCTCCTTATCCATCTAGGGGTAAGGGGGTGGTATAATGCTTTGGTTGTGCATTTTTCTTTAGATGCTTAGTTGAATCCACCAGGTTTGTGTCTTTTTTAATTTAATGTTACCAGGGTGGTGTGGCATGTTTATTGCTACTTTAGTCTTTGCAGTGAATGTGCAGTACATTTCTAACACAGGTCTAGTTATTCTGGAGGAGTTGCATTCACTATGTTCATTATTGACAGTTCTCGGAAATAGTTCCAGTGTTCAGCCATGTATGATTTTTTTCAGACTCCTGTGTAGAATGCTTCCAATGATTTATTTTATGTGGCTCTCCTTTGCTGCACAATTAGATATGTTTGTTTTAAGTATACCCTTACCTTTAGCTAACAGCCATACATTATCGCTGTTTAACATATTTGTCATTATTTTATAAGCAGAAAAAAAACATTGCTCTAGGAAACTACTTTAATGCAAAATTAAAGCTGCATATTATTGGTTATAATTTTTTTTATTATAAACTGGTTAGGCTCATTTTTATTACCTATACAGCCAAGGAAATAATGTCAACAGTATACCAATATATACAAACAAATGAATACTTTTTTTGCCGGAAATACCATAAATTACTCATAAAGATACATTTTCATGGATCTTACATAAATTATTTTGTGAAAGCAGCATTCTATATATGTATGTACGATGGGCTAGGTACTTGCACACAATACTACCAGTACTAGAACTGGGTCCACACCTTAGAAGACTACAATGATAGTGTGGAAATGGGCACTCACAGAACTAAAACCTACACTTGCCCAATTCCTTGTTTGTAAATTCAGTCAAGGTTTACTGTATCTCACCTGTTTCATATATTCACATATTATTTTAGCATATTCATTATCTTAGTATAGATATATAAGCAATTGATTTTCACAGTTGGCTGTTCTCCCATCCATGCTTTTGCAGAATGCTCCAAGCATACAATTGCTCTTTTTTATTCCAGTTATACAGCAGGAGGGGGAAGTGGAAGCTCTCTCTCAGTTGTCTAACCCAGGCTGCCTGTGAAGTTGGCTGCAGGGATAAATAAACCAAGAGAAATTTAAACATAAATGCAGTAAATAAGAATAAATTTAATGCTAGACTTTTAAACTAAAAATATCACATCACATGCTTCTGTAGGTAGCTGCATTGTTACCAGTTAATGCTGGAATAGGTCATGAATAAACATGAACAGCTGAGAAGGAATCCCTTATTAAATATTCTTACTGTACATATTCCATTGGAAACGTATTTATAAAGCCATCTTCAAAACCTAGATCCAGAGCTGAGATTTAAACTTGTTCTCTCAGTAAATGTATAACTCTGCCTGAACACATTCCTGTCACTATACACTGCAATGGTATATTGTTTTGTTTTTTTAAACTGTAATTGTATCATTAAAAAAGCAGTCCTTGAGCTTTAGTCATTGGTTTTGCATTGGCTGAGATGGTGCCAGTTAGCTGCAGGCAGGAAGAAGCATTTCCATAGTCTCCTCTGCCCCCGATATCAGACTTCATTATTGTAAAGGTAAGAAGCTGCAGCAGGGGCTGATCTGTATCTAACATTTGTAAACGATTTAACAGAACTCCACAGGCATCAACATTTACATGATTGTGTCACATCTGAGCCAGAGATCAGAGAGATCTCCATCACATCATATGTTCCAACATGAGCAATTTACTAGTTACATAACATGAAATAGCACTGCTTGTTGTGAGTCTGATATATTGCTCATGTTTGAACAGCACCATCTGTTGTGAATCATTGTAGCACTCGCGTAGAAGGATTGGAGTGCCCCAAATTCTTTCAATACAATATCTGAGTCAGCATCTCAATCTAGAAAGTAGATGCTGACCGTGGAGGATGCCAGAACAAAGATGGCATTGTAGTTCTGGTGAAAGAAGCAGATGAAGGCATTGTCAGGAGGGGGAACTGTAGTCACTGTAAGAACTAATAATTCATTTAGGGGCGGCTTCACACCTCTGTGTTGTTGTAACATGATTTTAATGTGTGTTACTGCAATGCACAGACCATAGTGCATTGTGGTTCCAATGGTATTGAAAAGCAAAGCACATGCAACAGAAACCACCATGCATGGTAGTGCACTGTCATACATTGTGGGGTGCTGCTCTGGGTGTAGGTCACTATGGTGGGTTGGCAGTCCCTTCAAATCAATGGGCTGTATTAACACATGCTTTGAGGCATATGCAAAAACTGACCACATTGGAATTGAAGGATGGCCCAAATGTTACATACCAATTAGCACGCATGCACTTAACATGGTAAAATACACCGCTGATGCTAAATCTGCAAAATTCTAATTTTCCGTAAGCAAATAATTTGTGTTATGCTGGCCATACACTTTGAGGGATTTTTCTCACTTGATTCTCTAATCCATGCTAACAGTATGGGGTAATGTCCCCTGCTGGGACAAATTGTATTCTGACAACGCTGGGTGGGCTGCTGTCAAATCCCCAGACTTTGCCTGCAGCTAATTGGATGCAGGCACTGCTGTCCAGAAGAAAATGTTCAAGACTGGTTCCTTTGAATATGGTTAAGTGAAGAATCCACTTTTATCAATTGGAGGTGTGCCAACTGGTTGACTTTTGGCAGATTCAGAAGGGCATGACCAGTGTATGGCCAGCTTTACTGTAATGTTTATGTTCTGACTCCCCAGTCTAAGCATTGAAAGTGTAATCTCTGTAACTTGCGGTTGTGGCAAAATAGCAATAACCCCAATCTCAGTAATTTGGCAGACAGTTGACTCAATCCATATGACACCTTCAAGACCGTTAAAAAGTTGAATCCAAACTGTGCAGATCTTTACAACGGTGAACATAGGATTGGTCAAAAGATCATAATGTAATCCACTCAGCAAAGGAGAGGTATCTGAGATGCAGAATGGAACATAATGAAGAAGGGTAGAGCTATCTACAGAGAAGAAAACCTAAACTATGGGGAGACAAATACCAGAGACAGATAAAGCACATAATATTTAAAGGCATATCACAAAGCATGTGTTACATGACAGTTTACTTTACTTTAGATCAAGGCTTCACAAGTGGCCTTTTGTAAGTGCTGACAACACTATCTAGTATACACACACACCACCAAAACCAGTAGTATAAAAGAAACACCTCGGCATCTTCTGGTTTCCAGGATACTGTGAAATAGTACATAATTATATATTACTGCACGTGACCTTCGCATAATGTTCCTTCAACAAAGATTTATACAATGGTTATATAAATTGTGTGCTCGGTGTAATTTGTTTACAAACAATGAAGCATGTAGCTCAGGAATAAGTGTGAGTAATCGGCCCTATTCATTTATCTACAGAAATGTGCAACATGGTATATTCCACAGCAAGGAAATTGAGAACATCTCTATTGTGATTAGTATAACTTACAGCTTACTGCTTTTACTGGCTGAATACAAATTTTAAAGATGCCAGCTTTATGAGTATATTGGGTGTCTTTGTCAGGTATTATATAAAACTGTATCTAAAAACCACTTTGTTATATACCACACAACTAAGGCCCTGTTCACACCTAAGCCAAGCCATGTGATTAACACACACTGTTTTCCGAGCATTGTGTTGTCATTCATTTGAATGGCACCCCAAAACACTCCTCCCAGCCACCGTGTCCTGCAACGCATGGTACCGCAGTATTGTGCAACACTTTGCGCAGCGCTTTACACTATCAGGAGGACATTACAGTTACAGTACAAATCAAGACAAGATGGTAAGGAGGGCCCTTCCCCTGAGGGCTTACAATCTGAATGGAGGGGGAAATGATACATGAGGAGGTAGCTGTGGGAATGCATTATTTGATTTTTTGAGGAGCAGCGGGTGGTCAACAGTGTCAAAAGCAGCAGAGAGGTCTAATAGCAAGAATACAACTGATACAGAAACCCAACTTGTTTGCAAAGCTTGCACCTTTAAAGTGTATGTAAATCGATCTATTTTTCAATGTTTTTTTGGCATCATGTCTCACTTTATACAGTTTTCATAAGTACATTATACATTAGTACGTTATCTGTATTCCTCTTGTAAAGTTTCTTACTTGGAGATGCTGTCAGTAATGGCTCTTCCAGTTAAAAGCTGACAATGCGAAGTCACTGCCTCACAATTAGCTGCAGTGTTGTCAGCTTGCTGTGCAAGCTCTTTCAGTTGGTCATTGGGTTGCCCATCATATTTTAGTTGGTCAGCCAACTGAAGGAGCACACACAGTTCAGGATATGAATCCTGAACCCATTCATATAGATCAATTTATATCAAGCCTTGAAACCATGTTTTTACCTTCTCAAGTTGCTTTGCACACTTGTACTTCAGATCGGGGTTTGAAGGGCAGGACAGTGAGCCAGTCAGTCTCCTTTACATTTCAGTACTGCCAGTCTTACGCTGACATTTTCAGTGTGGTCCTGTGCCATCATTGTTCAGTCAAAACGATGGAAACAGAAAACTTACCAACCAAGCCATACTGCTCTTGCAGAGAAATGTGAGATCATGAGCCTGTCCATGCCGTCTGAAGGGAGTGTATCTATTTTAAAAGCTGTTGAACAGAACTGAAATATTTTGTAATTTTAAATAATAGTTACTGGTCAGCATTTTTATGTCCTCTTGTTTTTTAATTAATTTTTCAGGTGGTAAACGTCCTCCAGTTGCTCAGGCTGCTAGACCTGTTCCTCCTGCAAACCAAAGCTCCAACCTTCAGTCTGCCCAGCAAGGTATAACACTATTGACCATACTCATTGGATAGACTATTGTAGAATGAGGAACGGTGCATGACGACAAAGTAATTATGTTTGATTCAGCAGGAAAATCTTTCCTAAATATGGAAAGATAAGCCAAAGTACCATTCCTAATAACAGTATTTAATAAAAACACTGAAATTATAATAGCACACAAACCAGTGTCTGGATTGATGAAGACAGAACCAAATACAACATTGAAGCAATATGATCTACAGAGAAAGACAGATATAGACATACATGCAGATCAGAGGCCAATTGCCTTTTTGGTTCTGTTTTCTATTTACCAATGTAAGATTTTCAGAGGCCTCCCAGCAATTGTTTTCTTATTGTTTATGACTTTAAAATGTGGTATTTTTTAATATTGATTGAGCATCCTGTCTGGGAATCCCAAAAATTCATTATGGAATCTAATTTAGGGTTCTGAACCACTGACTGCTCATTTAAAATATAAACAAAATCTCAGGACTATTGAATAAAGCAGTGCAGAAAGCATCAAGTATGTGCTAAGTGTTATAACCCCATATGAATTCATTAATTTACTGTATTCAGACAAGTAAAGTAGGAATTGTAATTAGTTGCTAGGGGGTTATATCGCTTTGCTCCTTACACTGCATTGTTAAATGACGCTTATTCCTTTAACCTTTACTAAAATTTATATGTAGTCATTACGGGCATTCACGTAATTCCAGCTGCAAAGTCTCCACGTGAAACGGGAACAGTTCCATGATTCTGGGTGAGAAGAGTAGCTGGGATAAAGATGGCTGTAAGCTTTGAAACTGTAATCTCATCACTCTTGATGAATAGATCCAGCTTGGCAGTAGGATTGTTTTTAGCAATGTCTTGCTTGTCACGAAAAGATTTTTTCTCTGTGCTAGAGATGTACTGTTCTGCACTGTGTAGTAGAATCGTTTTGGCATATGTGCCAGTCCTGACAGTGAACATCTGTGGGCTTAGTGTGTTTGCAGTGTGTGGTATGGACTAACCTTGTAGTAGTGCGGTCAGGTCTTGTCCACTTGGTAAAGTGACAGCCCAAGACGAATCTTTGTTCACTTCTGGTGATAAGAGTTTTGACTTCAGGAGGAATCTCCGGATCTTTGACAGGATCTAGAAGACTGAAGTCGTCAGTTGTAGCTTCTTCTGGATGATCCAGCAGGAACTCAGGACCTGTTAACCAAGAAGAGATTTGCGAAGACACTGGCAGACACTGGCCTGGTGGCATAATCTGCAGCAGTGATTTCTGATAGAACATAATGGCATTGTTCAGGCTTGGAAGCTAACTTAGCTTTCCCAAACAGAAACCCTTTGTGGGTTTGATTAGAAGAGTCTCTCACCTTGAGGTAGGCAACAGCTGCTATGGTCTCAGTAGATGCATCTGAGAAGATCTGAAGCTCTTTTCTCTGACTTACAGCAAGGGAAGCTGAAGTGTACCAGCTTGACATTTGAATTCCATGTAAGGTATGTCGAGATTGCTGTCTCTGTAAGGATTTACCTTGTATGGTGATGGGAGCCACAAATCCCACTGGATCGTATAGGCTGTTCACCACTGACAGAACACCACGTTTGGTAAATGGCTTGTCTGCAGAGCTGACTTGAAAGCCGAAGTTATCTTTTAATAAGTCCCACCGTAGGCCCAGACTTCTCTGTACAGGTGGCATGTCCATTCCCAGATTTAAGTCTTTAAACCCTGTGGCATGATCGCCAGGTTGAAAGGCTTTCATAACAACAACATTGTTTGAGACAGTCTTATGGTGTCTGAGGTTGGTCTCAGAAAGCATACCTTGAGTCTTTGGTAGCAGGTCTATTGCTTCTTCATGAAGAGGAGAATCATCTTGCACGATGACTGGTGTAGAAGACTCTGATGAGTTTCCCGAGAGGTTTACTGCTTTTGGAGTCACTGGAGTGATGCTTGAGGAATCAGGTGCGTTGTCCTGGGTGTTTGCATCAGTGGATTCCTGCTCGTCCGAGCTGTTGAAGGAAATCTGGTGCGTAGTCTTACCAGAACTATTGCAGGGTGGTGTTGTGATGTTGTCTTGGTTTACCTGTACGATGATCTTATTGGAGCATACATCACCTGAGGCATGAGGTTCACAATCTCGTTTGACTCCAATAAGTACCCAACCTAGATCAGTCTTTTGGGCATAAGGATCATCATCCCAGCCATTGTGCTGCTGACGTACCTTGTGTACTCTCAGGATGTCTCTGCCTAAGAGAAGCATTATTTTGGCATTGTTGTCAAGTGGTGGGATGCAGTCAGCTAAATGTTTTAGGTGAGGTTCCCGAAGAGCATCCTCTGGTGTAAGAATCTCCTCCCTGTCATTCTGTAACTGATTGCACTCAATGAGACTAGGAAGATCAATTCTCTCCGTTCCTTTAATAAGAGAAATGATGAATTCAGCATTGGTGGTTCTTCCTGTGAGTTGCACTGTACCAGCACAGGTGTGCAATGTATAGGATAGCATGTTACCCTTTATGCCGAATAAGTCAAAGAACTCTGAAGTGGCAAGTGAGTGACTGCTTTGGTCATCTAAGACTGCATACATCTTGATTGCCTTTTCAGGTTGTCTTTGGCGAAACACCTTGACAAGAACTATTTTTGCAAGAGTCTTTC